GATGCAAGGAATGCGGAAGTACTTGTATTAGCCAGAGTAGCAGTGGAAGAGGAGGGTTGAGTAGATGGCTCTTGGCTATTCTTGATTAACTTATTGTATTCTTCTCGTGAGAGCAACATTAAGGCAGTAGTAGAATGTAGAGTCTGGTCTTGATCGTTGGAGCCAACTGGGTGCACCCCATCACCTCCAGAAACATTGGACATCTAGTTAGCCCAAGCTGGCTTACCAAATTTATCCCAACATTTTTCAGCAATATGATTTGTTCGCCCACAAGGGGTGCACTTCCTGCTGCCTCGACCTCCACCACGACCTCCACCTGAATAATAACCACATCCTCTATTTCCACCACCACAGCCTCTGCCATCACCTCTTCATTGGAGGACGTTAAAGTAGACTCATCACTGGTGCTAGTACCCAATGAAGAAGATACATTAACCCATTGAAGGCGAGTGTATACATCATTGAGAGAGAGAGAAGTTCACTACTAGTTAAGATCTGCCTCCGAACAACATGATACTCATAATTAAGGCCAGATAGGAACTTTGCAACTCGAATTCCTCTTTCAGTATTGATGAGCTTTTTCCTTGGATTTGTTATGTCACCATCTTTCACAATCTCATGCTCAAACGAATTTGATTGTTATGAAATTGACTATCTTGAACCTACAAAGGAAAACAGTTTCGTGAGACTCTTTAGAGGAAAGTAGAACCTGTTTTTGTTAGTAGCTTCATTGGCCCTCATGAAATTATGTGGCCAACTTGGGGTTCGTTTCTAATGACCTAAACAAAAAGCAAGGGGAGATTTGCTTGGTCAGTTGACCTTATCTGATTTGTTGCTAGGGTTCCGTGTTCCAAACTACGGCCAGAGTGATCTCCTTTGTGAAGCAACAGGAATTGGGCATGAGACTAATACATACTTTTAGGTTTGATTTTTCCAGAATGGAAGGTGTTGTTATGGAGGTGATGATTGGTTTCTGCCACAGATTTCTGAGACAATTACAGCTGCCAGTCCTCCCCTCCTACCAGTCTTTTGCTCGTATCATTGACCAATGTGAGGCATAGATTAGATTGCATCTCAAGGGGCTTCAATTGAGAGGATGGTTGCGGTTATGTGGCCGTTTAAAGGCCTTAAGAAAGCGTGTACTAAAATTATTTATAGTGATATGTTGGCTCTAGTGGGAGTGGTTGAAATTGGATTATCTGGCATTGCTAATGCCTTGACTCACCTGAGCTTTGACTAGGTATGACACAGGGTGATGTCTAAAACCCGCAACCCTAGGCATTTGTGCCCAGGGTGGTTGGCCAGGGGACTGGGCGTCACCCCCCAGTGTGTGATAGTTGGCCGGAGAGGATAAGGGCCAAAATCCTCATCATTACCATTGCATGACATGTACACTAGATAGCCGTCCCAGGAAGTAGTCCTGTGGATGAGGGTGTGTGTTGTGTACATATGTCGAAGAGATGACTCCCTGCAATACTGAACTCTGTCACCCCCTTTGTGTGATAGTTGGCCGGAGAGGACAAGAGCAAAAATCCTCATATTACCATTGCATGACATGTACCCTAGATAGCCGTCCAGGAAGTAGCCCTCTGGATGAGGGTCTGTGTTGTGTACATGTGTCGAAGAGATGACTCCCTGCAATACTGGACTCTGTTGGAAGGACCCATGGATTTGTTCTCAGAGAGGGACCTGTAATCCATGGACTAGGATCGTGTCTCCTTATTTATTGGATGACTTTGATTTGTCCAATCATGAAACCCCTGGCAGTGGGTCATGAGAATTATTGGGTCAATTTGAGATGCAGTGAGATGTGCTTTTTTAAAAAGGATAGAGTCGTTAGTATATTTGTTATATTCCTAATTCTTTGGATCTAATTCCCATCAAATCTTGTTAAATATATTTAATTATATTTTAAATACTTAAAATGGATTTTTAGACCTCTCTGGATATTTTATTTTATTGAAAAAGATATTTAAATAAGAAAAAATTAATTTTCTGAATTTATTTAATTCAGTGGACAATAAATTTTTTAGTGGATTTATAAAATTCTTTTTATTATTCTAAAATATTATTTTGGGTATGGGGGCCTATTGGAACTTTGGGGGGCTTACCATATGAGCCCATTAGTGGGGGTGGGGGGCCCACATGGCCCCTCCATGTGTGGGGCGGCCCACTTCCTTTTCTTCTGTCCTTTTTATGTGGCATGTGATGGAAGCCCACTCATTTTATGCATACTCTCTATGGGGCATCTTTGTCTCTACACCTTGAACACACATTCTCTCTTGCTAAACCTTAGAGGCAGGCATGCCCCACTTTCTCTCTCTATTTCTCCTCAATTTAGTTAGGGTTTGATTTTGTAGAGGCTAGAAACCCTAAGGGGCACATCTAAGCCACAAGGGTGCCATGCCCTAGCCTATGTGCATTGAGACTTGCTTATGGGTCGAGCCTTGATCAAAGCCCTATCCTATGTCATACTCTCAAGAGGTTTTGCCTAGGCTTTCCGTGTTATGAGACGAGGTTAGACCGAGATCCCGTGCGCCATTGGTAGAGGAGACCCGGTGTGAGGTGTACGAAGTCCGTCGGGGTAACCTGAGACAATGTATGAGGTATTTTTTTATGCTTTCTTGAATTCATTCAAAGTGTTATGTAATTTTCAGATTATGTTTTGAGTGAGATTTTTATTTTGATGGCAAGCAAGTTAGAGTCCTTGGCATATTTTGTGATTTTATTGGTTCATATATTGTATTTAGACATTCGTAAGTGACCTGGTGGTAAAATAAACAATAAAGAAAAATTGTTTTTTATCCGTTTATACTTGCCTAGGTCTGAGATTCAGCATGACTATAAGACTTACAGTAGAAGGTCAAGCTCTATCGTCATCATGAAAAACCAAGATATTTGCGGAACAACAAAGGGTGGCTATGTGACTGTTGATTTCAGCCATGAAAGAATGATAAATTTGAGTTTTGTTGTATTGGTTTCCTTGGTTTGTATGTTTGTGTCTCTTGGTGAGTTCCCATATCCATGCAGTTAAGATTGGAATAGTACCAGGACTCACTTGAGTCCACTTGGACTTGGGCGAGTTTATTGGACTTGCCCTATGTAGGAGTATGAGTAGCCCCGAGTTGGGTGCACAACTTGGCGCACATAATTTTTTAAAAAAAAAATAAAAAAATGTAAAAATGTTGTATAAAAAAAATTTATATTATTTTGATGTTTTTGACAAAGATTGGTGAGTTTTTTGTGCCTTGAAATTTTTGAAGTGTTGCAAACTATAAATCAGTTTTTTTTAATCCTTTTTTTCTCTAATTTTTTAAAGCTTATTTTAACTTTGAAAAAATTTAGGTGTGGCACAAATAGACGATAAGATGAAAGAGTAGACTTAGATCCGCTAGCCATGTGTGGTACGGACCCATACAACACCTATTAAGAAGTGTGATTTAGTTCAAGTGGAAGGCTGCAGGGCATGGGGTAGGCGCAACAGGACATGGTGGAAAGTTGGAAAAGATATGGAGACTTATGGCCCTTAATAAAGCAGAATGGCGGATCAACATTTGTGTAGCGACCTCAATTAATTAGGAAAAAACTATGATGATGATTATTTAACCTTTTAAAGTTGTGTTTTATTTTTTTTTACTTTCTTTATCTTTTATCTGCAGGGAGTTTTTCAAATTTTTTCTATATTTTCTTAGGGCCTTTTGGCCTTGTGTAGGACTCAGACTCTCCCGAGTAACTTGGCTCGGCCAACTACCGAGTCCCTTGGCCAACCGAATTTCAGAACCTTGGATTAGAAACCCATGCAGTTAGAACTATCCCTTACTAGATTCTAAACTCCTAATATATATTGACATTGATATGAATGATTGGAGCTATTGCTGTATTGGAGGCTACTAGGGAGTAGTAATTTATGAAAAATTGCCCAAATTCTTCTCAACTTATGAAAAACAGTGTGATGAAAAACTTTGTTATATGGGATGAAAATGTGTACATCATTGCCCTTACCAATTAGCCCCACCAGATTTTGTGGATTGTAATCAATAATTTGCAGGTTTTTCTGTTTTTGTATGTTAGTAACTGAATAATATCTAAATTACTAACAAATTAAGCATTATCTCACCTTTCATATGAGTATGATTTAAAAATGCGTACCTTAATAATACGATAAATCTATTGATACATGTATTATCTCATTATACCCTAAATGTGCTGCCTCATATGCTACGTTTAAACAAGTACATTATAGGCAGCAGATATATACTGCTCCTGGGGGACCACACTATGCACTTGATTTCCACACCCCAAGCACCTAATTAAGAGTTTTTGTTGTGCTTGTTATGAAAATTTTCATATTAGTTAATTCACCTTGTGATTTCAAGGAAAAAGAAAAGATTTTTAGCTCTTATAACCCAAAATCTGATCGTCCATCCAATTGGTGGTCTAGAGACAATATAGGCAGGGGAATATATTTGGAGCATTAGTTGAGCTCCTAATTAGTTTCTTTTTTAATTGATGTTGGAGATAAAAATTTGGATGTTACGGGGATAAATAAATCTCCCTAACATGGTTTTTCCGGGGGAGAAGTATGCATGGTGGTATCATAGGAATACCAAATCTTATCAAATATTTATCTATGATATACAAGATGTTTGCAGTTTGCATGTAAAAGTTACGAAGAAGGTTCAAGAATGTGTAGTTGTGGATTTGAGAGTCAAACTAGCTTGTAATGTTTACCTAATAGAAGGATTTAAGAGTCAAGCTTACTTGCTCTAAAGATGCACCTCTTTGGCACATGAAGCACCCATCACCTGAGAAAGAGTGTGTTGTTAGTTACTTGCACCTCAACGGTAAGTGGGACAGGGGTAGCCTATACATGCCCCTAATCCACTATGCACCTTCCAGCTATGGACCCTTTGATCACCTGTCTCATGATGTTTAATGCTGGTTCAATGTGATTATATCCTTCCTTTTGGTTCCACATAATTAAGTTTTTGGTGTTTCAGGTGAGGAATCGCTCTGGTCAATGGATTTGGGCTGCTCCCATACCCGGTACTTTTGTGTGCAATATCGGTGACATGCTCAAGGTTGGCCACATGCAACATGCCATTGAATTTGTCACTCCCAAGGTTTTAAAAATAACGAAAATAACAGTTGTAACTGTAACAATCATTGACCACTACACAAAATGCGAACTGCAAATACTTTAGTGGCCATTATGCCTGTTACAACTGCCATTTATAATATAACATGGGGTCATGATAGCTTTCAAAACCTTAGATTTCTGCATTTCATGTACTATTATCATGGCAGACCTCTCACTAAGGTTTGAGGAAATGCAGGTTTGGTCAAATGGTTTGTACGAGCCCACCCTGCATAGGGTGATTAACAACTCCCCTAGATACCGGATCTCCATACCTTTCTTCTTTGAGGTTCCATCTCTCACTCTCGTTCTCTCTCTCTCTAATGCATAACCCTCTTCTTTGAGGTCCTCTCTCTCTCTCTATCTCATGTAGGTGTTCAATGATGCAGCCGAACTTTGATGCTGTGGTGGAGCCCTTGGACAGCTGCAAAGAAATGACAGGTGGGACTGCGAAGTTTGAACCTGTTGTTTATGGGGATCATTTAGCCGGCAAAGTCCTCAACAATTTTGCCAAATACGATTGATGACAATGAATTACTGGAACGGTAAAGGAACAGCTAGCCAACTGTGGAGTAATCTGCCTCCCACTAGTTGAAGTCTGTGGGCGCCTCATCTTAATGTGGAATGCAACTTAATGTGACTTGTGCTAGTTCTTAATGGACTATTTATACATTGTGCTGTGTATCATTTCCCTAAAGTATTTATTTGCATCTCTCTCTCTCTCTTTTTCTCTCTCTCTCTCATTTGAAAATCAGTGAGGTTTTATTTCATACTTCACTTAGAACATATTTACAGTATGCCATACAGGCTCCATACATCCATACAAAACAAAAGAAGAAATCAAAATACGGACGAACTCAAATTCAATTACACATGGATGACATTTAATTCACTATCAACAACTCCAACTTTCGCCAGCCGACCAATCTCCATATTTCCTTCTCTATACACAAGCATGAAAGAAATTTCCATTTCCATACATAATGCATATGCTTCACTAATAATCTCCTGCAGAGTCCAAGGACATTCTTTCTCCTTCTTCATCCAATTTATGACATTTAGTTCATCTTCTTCCACCATCACAAGTGTGTTAAAGTCTTTTGCCAGTTGGAGCAAAACCCTCATCTCAGCTTCATTTGCAGTTCGTCTTCCCAATGGTCCTAAATATTTTAGTAAAACATTTCCCCCACAATCTCTAATGATCCCTCCTATTCCAGCAAGCCTCGAGTTTCCAGCTGAACTACCATCAAAGTTTAATGTGATCCATCAGACTTCAAGTTCTTTCCAAATTCAAGTTCTCATACTTTTCATAGACTTTTCCTTAAGCCCCTCATGTAAATTATACATAATGTCTATCCTACTCACCCCCGGCCATTCAACTTTTACGGCCAACCACTATGCTACTAATATTCTTATTCTATCTTTTACATCTGTCTTTGTTTTGCTTATATTTTCACACTGTTTCTCTCTTTCCATATTTCCCAAACAACCATTCTTTTTATTGTGTTTTAGACAACCATCCTCTTCTTACCTATTATTGCAATCTTCTATTGACTAATAATGTGTACATTTGGCATAATGTTACCTTGTTTTCTAACATATCGTCAGTTAAGATCTCTTTCAGGCACAATAACCACATAAAGCATCTGACTTTTTGAGGAACAGGCCATTTCTGTATCTTTGCACATTCAATATCCTTCCATCTATTTCTATCATAGTATAACAGATTATAACCTGAACTAATTGAGTATCTACCACTTTTATTTGGTTCACACATCACGCTGTCTTCATTAACAAGAAAGTAAAAGTACTGCTATAACATGCTAATGCATTGGATGTACTCTTCTGAAATTTGATTACACTCTTCTACATGTACATCTAATATCCCAACTAGTATTGAAGCCTATGCCTTCCACCATATCCTTTACCATCTTGCTTTTCGAAGTTACATTGGCAAAAAGATTAGGAAACTGTAATTTCATAGGCATATCCCCGATCCAGTTTTGTTGTCAAAATCTCACTTTGTTACCTTTGCCAACTATCATTCTTGAATTACTTAAAAAGAAGTTTCTACCCTTTCCACATAATTGATTTTCCTTTCTTAATGGTTCATTTTTTCACAAGACCATTTTCTATATCCTCACCATATTTTTTTGACAGGATGCATCTCCATAGTTGATCTTCCTCTGTTGCAAATCTCTACCACTATTTAGTCAACAGAGCACCATACATCAGTTTCAGCCTCTTCACCCCCATACCCCCATCACAAGTAAGTACATAATTTGTCCCATTTCACAAGGTTAAAAAATGTCTTATCTTCATTCTCATCCCACAAGAATTTCCTCATAATCATCTCCGATTTCTTTATTACATTGTTTGGTATTTAGAATAATGACAATAGCGTATAGGAAAATTTGCGAGTGTTGCCTTCACCAATGTTAGTCTACCACCTAGATAGAAGCTTAAATTTCCAAGAATCCAATTTATACTGCATTCTTTGGATTAAAGGATCCCACAAAGCATCACATTTGCAGTTAGTGGCAAACCCAAATATCTGATTGGGAGATTTCCTACCTCACATCCCACCATCGTAGCTCAACTGGTTGCTATATCTTCTTCACACGCTACTCCAATGATTTGTGTTTTTTTTAGATTCACTTTTTGACCGGTCACTATGTCAAATCTCTTCAAAATTCTGATCTCTTGATCAGATGTTCCACAAAAAATAAGAGTGTCAACAGTAAACTGCAAATGCAACACTGCTATTCCATTATGTTCAACTAAAAAAACCTTTCAATAATCCCATCTCAACAATTGAATTCAACATAACACTGAAAATCTCCGCCATGATAGTAAATAAGAAAGGAGATAGTGGATCCCCTTGTCTTATGCCACGTCATGCTGTGAAAAAGCCTTTTAGTTTTCCATTAGTAAGAATGGAAAAATGAATGGATTCTAGACACCCCTTTTTATCTACATAAGCCATTTCTCTCCAAACCCCATGGCTTTCATGGTTTGTGGAAGAATTTTCTATTCCACTTTATCATAGGCTTTCTCAATATCAATTTTACATATAATTCCAGCCTCTTTATCAGCAATCCTTGATGTGCACAAAGTATGCTATCCATAATTTATCGACCTTTAATGAAAGCTGATTGGGGTCCTTTTACAACCATGGGCAGGATCATTTTTAGTCTACCAACAAGACATTTTGCAAGAATTTTTTATAGACTAGCTAGCAGACTAATGGGGTGAATGTCACCCAAACTTTAAATGAGCCCCTTCTTAGGAATGAGAGCAATAAACGTAGATTTTAAGCTCACATTTACAGTCCCTCTCTGATGGAATTCATTCATCATATTTATAATTTCCCTATTTACATTGTCTCAAAAATGTTGAAAAAACCCCAAAGGAAACCCATATGGCCCCAAAGCTCAATCCCCTACTAGACTAAAAATTGCTTCTTTAATTTACACTTCAGAAAAAGGTCTTTCTAACCATAATTCTGCATCTAACTTACTAAAAGGTACATGGCTAAAATCCGTATTAGGTATATGGCCTACAGAGAAAGCCCCTTGGAAATGCTAGATAATTGCATTTTCCAAACCTATTTCATCTCCTTCAGCTACCCCATCAATCTTAGGGCCTTGAATACTATTGATTCTTTTTCTAGCACTGACAGTTGTATGGAAGAGTCTAATATTCAAATCCCCCTCTTTGAGCCATCTAACCCACGTCCTTTGCTTCCAATATATCTCATTTGCTCTTATCCATTCATGCAATTCATTATTTAGCAGATTCCTTAAAACTCTATCCTCCCCATCAATTAATCCAGTCTCCCACTCCTTAACATCAATTTAAGCTATTTCATCCATTACCTCCCTAATTTTCACCTTGTATTTACATTTACTATGTTTTCTCCATTCAATCAGTTCATTTTTCACTCCTCGAAATTTTTTGGAGGTCACAAAACTACTCCACCCTGCTTTATCATTTCTAATCCATGATTCTTTAATCAAATCATTCTTAGCTCTATGATAGGGGTTTGATTTTTGTGTCGGTCCTTGCACGAACAGGGAGTGCGCGTGCGGGGGAGAAAACCCTCTCTCAAATAGCTGAAGAGGGTCTGCACGTGAGGGGCACCTGTGGGTGCGCATACGTGGGAACTCCTGAGTCCGGATAGATACCAACAACAAGAGAGATTTTGTGGCGGGGGAACGTTCAGATGCCGTTTGGGGTTCGAGGGACACACCAGGGCGATTTGCCCTTTTAAAACAATCACGAAGTCCTCCGGCTGTCTGCCAGCACGGTTTAGACGGGGAATCTCTTCAGGCTTTCAAAAGGTCTCTTCTCTTTTTCTCTTGTGCTTGCAATTGGGATGGGGGCTCAATTATCCCTCTCTGTAATGATTCCCTTAGAGAGGCTGACTGGCTAGTGGAAGGGTATGAGAGAACCCGAGGGTTAGGACTCGTGGGTTCACTCAGAACCGCGCATCTGTTGCAGACGCGGGTTACTGTGTGGGGCAGATGACGTGTAGAGGAGAAGAGAGCGGGCTCGAGATGCGGCCCAGCTTAGGAAAGAAAGACAATGGGTCCACTCACTGAGAGATATTTTCTCTCTCTGGGAAGGAAGCGACCTCATACTCAAGGGTGTTTTTCTCTCCCCGAAAGTTTTCTCTCTCCTCTCGACAGGATTAAGGGTTTAGAAGCAAAAGACAAGTGAAAACAATGGTTATGCCTTTGTTTTAGTGATGAATAATCTGCCCTTTTACAAGTGACTTAAGCTTGCTTATATAGAGAACTCACTAAACATGGGTGAATGTTAAAAAATTAAGCTTAATTACAATTAGAAAAATTAAAATAAAATCCTGAAATTAGGTTCAATGACTAAAATAACCCTAAAACCTTTTATGTTAATGACGAAACCATCTTTGTCTGAGGGTCTTTCGCCATTGTCAGATCTTGGAAGCTTTCTCGAAACTTGTAGCGATGGTTCAGTCGATTTGCCATTATATATTCAATGCTTGTTTGATTTTGAGCATTTTGATGCCCTTTAATCGTGCTGAAGCAGCCTTTTCCCACGGGGTAGAAGTCTGGCCATATTTGTGAACCTTGGTCGCCAATGCTATTCGACCTGTGATGCCTTGAGCCTTTATTTTATCTGCAGATGAAAGGGGAGATTGTCACAGTCGTTTTGCACCAAGTTTGGTCTGTTTTGGTCTTCATTTACAACATTTCCTAATTTGGGGGGTCATCGTAAAAGGATATTCTGACGATCGAGCAGATTTGCTTTTCCTGTAACCTTGGGATTTGTGCTTTCATTGGATCAAGTACAACAGTTATACGAGTTTGTAGCTCTTTGCGAGGTGGTTGTATTGAACTCATTTTCACGATGATCCGATTTGTGGATCTCAAGTTGTGCTTCACGAGGTTCGAGATGTCTTCTTCAAACCCTAATTTTTTTGGTTTTGTGCTCACCTTCTTTCTAGAAGAAGTTTGACTTTGGGTCGTGCCACGGTGTATGCCCTAGGTCAAAATGACAGGGTTGCCACGATCTAGAAAATGTCCAAATTTAAGCTTTTTCTTGTTCTAGATGAAGGTGATGTGGGTCCTTGAAGTCCCTCTCAAGATGTGATGTTGTAGTTTCCATGCTTGGGGACTGGTTCAGTGAAGCCGCACCGCGATAATGTAAAATATATTTGTTTTGTGGTAGTT